TGCATTTATATCGGATGTAAATACTCATAGTCCCAGGAGTGGATCAGCGTCAACAAGGGACGAACGCAGCTGACAGTGAGGAATTGATTGTTAATTTGCAATAGTTGGGGATTTAAACTCTTTCATTCTGAAGCCACACGAACAAGGGATGATACCCAACATAGTTTGTGTGTGGTGACCTTCATTTGTTGCCATTCTACTACATTGGGTTCCCAACCGAGTCGATCAACCTTCGCAGCCAAATCTGCACGGAAGGGGTAGGAGAAAAAAAATAAGAAAAGGAAAAAAAAAATAGAATTAAAGCAGAGAGAGACGGAACTCTTTCGGAATCGTACCGCGATATAGATTTTATTCGTTGGTTTTTATATTTACTTTTTTTTGTATTTTTTTATTCTAATTAATTTCTTTTCTTTGTCGCTCAAATGCCACGCAAGAATCCTTCACTAAGGTGGATATCCGTTGAATGTCTCCCACGACAACCACTTCTATTATTATCAATAATATCCGCAAGTCTGCACCACAGAACTATGACTAGATCCACAACTGCGTGGCCTAAAATTAAGTCTAGTATCTGGAAACCTTCCCGTGTGGAGCGCAGAGGCCCCCCCTTTGCGATCCCTGCTTGAAGGCTTCTTGTGCTTCAACGAGAGATCGCGCTTTAAATCATTCTTTATAACTTGAAATCAGGGCAGGGACATGAGATCTCATTAGTTTGAGGTGAACATTGCTCAGTCCTTACTCCCCGTGCCTGAATTTCAGAGATTGATTTCCGATCCTCTCCCAGGGAATTAGGGTTACGAGGAAAGCTTGTCCTTTCATTCGCGCCAAGCAAAATCAAGGAGGAGGAGCCGCAGGTCAATTGCGACCCAATTCAAAACTCCTCTCTTTTCTCTTCTGTCTCCTATTGGGAAAATTAATCTCGTCGTTGGGGGTGGCCATGTTCAACGGCGCAAGAAATGTACTTTCACTAGTGTCCCTCCTTTATACTTTCTTGACCACTCCATTGAACTGCCAGCGGTGATCTCCGGCGCGGGATTCTTCGTGGAATAATAGTCCATTCCTTTGCCTCCCTCCTTCAAGCGCCTCCCCTCCCCGCCTGCCTCCCTCCCTTGAAAACCAACCGTTCGTCCCCGTCCGCCTTCCCACGGCAGAAGTTGAAGGGAAAGAGTCCACAAATCAATGCGGTCACGAGGATAAATACAGAACAAGTCATGCCAGGATAATGGTGGAGGATAAGCGATCCGCTTCGTTGCCTGGCGCCGTGATGTCGGAGTCTAGCTCGACAATTCACGCCGTTCCTTACGAAGAAACTGTCGCCGCAGAAGCCCCCCTGGCTGTCAGATCTGCCTCGTTGCCTACCCCAGTCGATTACCCATTGTGCTCTGGAAAAAAATCACTTGCAGTTAACGTACCGTCAAGTTATCCCGGAGACCCATCACGCCCTCCACTCTCGTCGCATAGGAATGGACGGCCCCAAACGAAAGACGGAAGGATGCTAGGGGCAGATGGTGCGAAATCAGTTGTCAGCCTGCGCTCATTGCGCTCCATTCCTAGCATTGTTGTCAATGACGCTGGATCTCGTCCTAGTTCTCGGCCGGGCTCTCGGCCGGGGTCGCGCCCTGGTTCTCGGTGGTCGGAACGTAAACTTAGCGGACTATGGGGCAAAAAGTCTACAGAGTTGGAAAGAGGTTCGGACTCGCCACCACCTGTTCCTCCCATAGAGGCTCCCTTCAACGGACTATCGTTGGATATACCCAATTCGTCTTTCGACGGCCTTGCGCCGCAGTCCATGAGGTTCTCTAAGCGCGGCAGTCTCATCAAAGAGGAAGCAAGACAACGGTTGAAGCAGCTAGAACAAAATGACGGTGAGGAAGACACCCAGGAGCCAGGGGATAGGCAGGAAGACATCGAGAAGGACCCGATACCTACATCCACTGCTCCAATAGAGCAGAATGGCACGGAGGCAGAACTTTTAGAAGCCCCTGTAAGGCGTTCAAAACTGCCACCGTCGCTTCGTGTCAGGCAAAGCGCTATGCCTAGCAGAGTTATTTCCGCAGACGAGGATATGCTGTCGCGTCGGGTCAGGCTGATGTATGAGAAAGGTGATGATAACGTGACAGACTCGGAAGTGGCGAGAGCCCTGGCTGTGGAGAACGGTGTGCTCTGGGAAGAGGCAGGTCCGACAAGTGAGGAGACTTCTCGCTTTTCAGGCGCCAGTGTGTCTGGCACGGAAACCAAGAGCATAGTGTCCTCAGTTGGTCCAGAGCCTGCCCCGAGCATCAAGAAAGAGCCCAATGAGCTAGCTGGCGGGATTGAGTACTGGCACAATATTAAGGCGGGAGATGTGGATAGATATGGTTTCATTCGCTCTCCTACCAGCAACTCCAATGATGGTACGGAGCCTAGTCCGATCCAACGGGTTTCTACTAGTCTGCTCCTTGCCTCAGAAAGCCCCCGTCGGAAACATTCCATTCGACCTCCGTCTGCTCTGGCGAGTAACCGTTCATTTGCGGGCCGGTCTCCAAACCGAAAGATTTCTGCCCCAGCAGTCCGCCCTTCGTCGTCGCAGAGCGCGTATAGTTCGCCAGTGCGACGGCCAACTTCACGATTTCGTCAAGCGACAAATCATCTTCCTCACAATCGCGACCGCCGATTCAAAGACGAGGCCGCCGACATGCTCACACACCCAGTCGATGGCAATGGACAAGGTATAAACACAGCTGCTATGCGTGCGGCCAGGAAGAGAGAGTGGCGAAGGGAAGACAAATGGACAAAGATGGCGAGGCCGACAAAGAGCAGCAGAGCTGGCGGTGGCATGACATTCGAGTTTGACACAAAGAGCTCCAAGCTCATTGAACGGACGTGGAAAGGCATACCTGACCGATGGAGATCGACTGCCTGGTACGCCTTTCTAGAGGCGAGCGCCAAAAAGCGCAGCGATAGTCCTGCGGTGGAGGAGCTCATTGACGCTTACAATGAGTACCAGTTCGTATCGTCACCCGACGACGTACAAATCGATATCGATGTCCCAAGGACCATCACTAGCCATATCATGTTTCGTCGGCGGTATCGTGGCGGCCAACGCCTACTGTTCCGCGTGCTACATGCGATGTCTTTGTATTTCCCAGACACAGGCTATGTTCAGGGCATGGCAGCCCTTGCTGCAACCCTTCTTGCTTACTATGATGAAGAACACGCCTTTATCATGCTCGTCCGTCTATGGCAGCTACGAGGACTAGAGCAGCTATACCGGTCAGGCTTCGAAGGCCTGATGGAGGCTCTGGCCGACTTTGAACGAGGGTGGCTGGAGGGAGGGGAGGTCGCCATGAAACTGAATGAACTCGGAATCCCACCTACTGCCTACGGTACACGTTGGTATCTCACTCTCTTCAATTACTCTATTCCGTTCCCAGCCCAGCTGCGTGTGTGGGATGTTTTCATGCTCCTTGGCGACGCTGAGGATACAGCTGGCCCGGGCGTAAAGACTGAGGGCCCCGACGCAAGTGCCTTTGGCAAGGGCTTGGATGTCCTCCATGCAACATCGGCGGCTCTTATTGATGGCATGCGTGAAATTATCCTCGAATCGGATTTTGAGAACGCCATGAAGGTGCTCACCAGCTGGGTTCCGATAAAGGACGTTGAACTATTCATGCGCGTCGCAAAGGCAGAATGGAAAGTCCACCGTCGGAAAAAGGCCCTTGTATAAGGCCGGGTTTCAAAACATTCAAGGTTTCGATGATGTTGTGACGTGATGTGTGATGTGATGACATGGTAGAAACGCCTTCTACCTTCCATATTTTATTTTACGGCTCTCCATTATAATACCTAATTATCTCGAGGCTATACCAGCTTCGAAACCCCCAAACCATTGATGGACGATTTGACTCGCACGATTATTGATGATCCCGGACAAAATTCAACCTTTTTTTTGTCCACGAACGCCTTCCTTACCCTAATACAGCTTCTAATGGCTTTCACATCACGAACTCCGCACGACTTCTAAGTCGTATGAATCTACACCAGGGACCGGCTACACATACTATACAGCTAAAAGCAAGACATGGACTCCCTCCATCACACTACGCACCTAATATATCCTCCCCCTAGAGAGTCCCTTCCCCGGTCCCCTTCCCTAATACAATCAATCCCATCAAAAAACCTAAACCAGTATACCGCGAGACTCTACGTTCAAACCAACACATCATCCGTCACGCGACCAAGAGCACTCCTTCCCCGGTCGATCGGTCGACCCTTGATTGTCCCTCACTCATTAAAACCTACAACGAAGAGCTTGACCAAAACTTTCGTCTTCGGTCACATACACAACTCGTTCCTACACTCCTATTTCCTTTATCAGTACAGTTTACTCATTTGCAAGGTCTCATTCTTTCATTGCGTTATCATTCTTCAAATTACATTCCCTGCACAACGCGTACTTGTCCCACCATTCGCTGTTTCCGTTTCATTTCTTATCTCCCCTGAACTGACGTCTGTATTTGTCCTTTTCTCTCTCTGCCTATCTGCCTTTTTTCCCTTTTCTTTCATTTTTGTTTTATATATCAAAGTCACAGCAAGAAGAACACTGTTATCCCTGATACCCCTTCCCTTTTGTCTCCTACGGTGTGTGTCTAAACAATTCCATATCTATTTGTCTGTGTATCTATTCTTCTATTTTGTTGCCCGAATTGAGGAAATTAGAAGAAACAAAAAAAAATATGAAAAAAGGTATTATATGACCGGCTTTGCATACAGAAGGGGGTGGAGCTAGGAAACTAGTATCAAGTAGTACCGAGTGCCACCCCTGAAGTATGGAGTAGAGTAGTATGTATTTGTAAAGAAAAAGAAAAAAAGAAAAAAGAAAAAAGAGGGCCTTACTCCGGAGTACGGAGGTTTCAGGTATTTATTACATAAAAATCTAGAAATCTCGGTTCTAGAAACATTCTAGAAGGGTCAGAGAAGGTTATTTGTGTGGATGATATCGTTGATTGAATTTTTTTTATTCTTGCTTTCTTGGGCATCTAGCACCGCACCTCAAGCGCCGGTGACAGATTCCAGTAAATACAGGAGATAGTATGTCATATGTAAATGGCCTCCGCGAGCCAGTCGGGAGGGGTGAGTGGTATACATGTGAGATCACTGTAGAAGGTGGGATGCATTGGTAGAGAACAAAGAGAATAAAAAGGAGAGTCGGGTTCAGAGGGAGGGGGGCTGGTTGAAAACAAGAACATGCTTTTGGTAGACTGCTTCGTAAAGTCATCTATTTCGTCGACCAATCAACTGGTATAGGGACGACACGGTCGTATGTATAGAATAGACGATTGTTTGCGCAAACCCCCCAGATGATTACCGGGGGGGCGCAGCACCATGGTCACCAGGCTGGGTGGGTGCTCGCGGTATCCCTGAAGTTGGAGAAGGCCCGGGACTGCTGTCCAAATCTGAGTCAGGGGGTGCAGTCCCGATACTGGAAGAATACTGTAGTTGGGACGCTGCAGGTGGGTACTGCACGCTACCCTCCGCTGGAGCCGGCTCGCCCCGACGTTCTAGAGCGTCTACTCGGTCATAGTCCTTTCTTAAACCCGGGTCTTCTGTGGGAGGTATCACACTCTGCGCATGATGAGCTGCACTCGCAGCTGTGCTACCGCGTTCAAAACCTGACTGTTCTAGGCCACGGGGCTCATACATAGCGGATGCGCTGCTGTGCTGACGGCTATGAACCGAAGGTTCGGCATGCGGAACTGACCCCAATGGGGAGCCAGGTCGGGAGACTTGAGAAACACCGGGAACTGTTTCAGTAGGGCGTGATGACGGGAAAGGAGCCGGCTGGTGAGGGCCGGTGTCTTTTCTTTTCCGTCCAGGGGAACTTTGATACTCTGGGCGACGAGAGACTTGCGATGCAAAAGGCGATTCTTGTCGGATCCTTCCGGAAGGCGTATTCGGTTGGGACTGACTTGGAGGAACCCAGTGATGAAAGTACAGGGATGGAGATTGTCGGTGTTGACTATCCGGCTTGCTCCCTACATGCTGAGCATGCGGGATAGATGACCCCGGGGCATAATGAACGTTGCTCAAGTTAATCGGAGGTTGATGTCGAGCCAGCAGTTCACCAGGATTGGGTCGCGGCATGGGCGGACCCCGGGGATCCGCTGGTCCATTGGGTAATGGAGACCGGCCGAGTGGCTGCGGAGCGGGTGGTGGCCCCGGAGGAAGAGGTTGTGATAACAGGATCCCCGGTGGAGGTACGACCTGTTGCGGTGGAGCCGCATACGGACCAGGGGGGATGGAGCGAGATTCTCCGCGGGCGTGCAAGCTGCGCCGCTGAGATGGATGAGATAGAGCCGGTGCAGAAGGTGGTGGCGCACGGGGACCGGCAGGCGCCTGCGTCATATGTTGTTGGGTCCATTCTATGACTGATTGCGGGACGCCATTCTGGCTGATGCCCGCGAAGATGAGCGGAATCATATGAGGAGGTACGCCGGCTTGCAAGGAATCTCGAAGCATACTCTGTTCGATCTTCCGCTGCTCTAGACGCAGAGATTCCTGACGGGTTCGTTCTTCCTCTTGCCTTCTCCGGTCTTCCTCAGCTTTCGCATGCCAGTACTGACTGGTATCATCGGCGCTCTGCCGTTGCGCTGGAGGGCGCGGCAGTGGTTGATTCACGGAATTCATGGCGGAGAAGCCGACATCCGGCGGCGGCAATGCCAGAGTCGAGGGAGGCGGCAAGCCACCACGGGAAGATTCCATAGAGTAGTCCCCGGAGGATCTCTTGTTAGCTACAATGGCCGCAGTGGGATCAGGTGCGGAGGGCGGAGAGGACCGAGGAGTTGGGATAGACTGACGAACGATAGCGTAGTCATGAGTGCCTTTGATCCCGTTCTGAGAAGACGGCTTCAATGTGAGTAGCATACTCGATTAGGATCGGTAGGACGCCCGAGCAAAGACAGGTCCAAGGAATGGCGATCCACGGTGGAGAAGGTGTTATAGGATATAGAAAGTAACACAGAGAGAGACCAGGTTTACAGCCCCATTGCGCAATCAATGCATGAGGAGGAGGAAGAGAGATGCAGAGACGGAAGAGCAGTATACCAAAGGCATATCGGAAAGGCAAAAGAAAGAGAGGGGGGATGTGGAAGAGCAGGATGGGGCAGTACAAGTAGTAGAGGTCGAGGTCCAAGAAGGAGGTGATCAACCATGTCAATGATAAAAAAAGGAAAAAGAAAAGAATAACAACCCCCGGATCTCCCAAATAGGGAACCGCCCCAAAAGAGGAAAACAGCCACTTACCAGAACAGGCCAAGTGTCCGCAAGGCACTAGCTCGAAGAGGAAAGAGCAAGAGTGCCTCAGGAGCGCGAAGTGTCTGCCTGAAGCGAGGATTTGCCGAATTCATCGAGCACAGATTCGATACTAAACTGATATGGACAGGAATCTATATATGCAGGAAGCTTAGATGAAGGTAGATACGTGTCCCAAAGCGGATAACACCCTTGTCCCGAAGTGTGAGCGAAGTGGATCAATGCACTGGCGCCGGCCACTAGAGCATCATTGCGTAGGACTGGCGCTGTTGATGACGACGAGTCCAGACGTTCTTATCGCCAATCGAAAGGCTTCGGGTCAAATTCTCCGAGCAAACCAAGCAAGTAAGCAATGCATACCATCTATCGATTTCTGGGCGGGTCGGTCCGACAGAACATGATAGATAGCTTGGGTACCTGTTGGTGTCTGTCAAGTACTAGATATCTATCTACCTATCCATTATTCTTCGAAGGGAAAAAAAAAAAAGAAAAAAAAAAAAGCTTTATCGGTATACGAGCAAGTAAGACATCGTCTACTATTCCGGGAGTGACTGATGAGACACACGGGACAATTTTCCGCACAGACTGAGAGTCAAAAGTCAAACGAAGTCCAGCTTACATTAAAGAGAAAGAAAATATTGATGCCTTGAGCATCGGGGCCGAGAAAAGAAGAAAAGTGGAGCGGCCAGTTCGTTTGCAAGTGCTCGATTTGGCTTAACCTGGAAAGCAATCTATTCACAATGGCTAATAAGAAAACGAGTTGAGGGGAGTTTTCTCAAACCCGACCGGATTCCCCATTTCACTGCGAGAGAAAAAAAAAAGCAACTATTGGAAGGAGTGGATTGCCGAAGAGAAGGAAGTTATTTTTTATTACCTATTATTTTTATTTTATTTGGTTTGGTAATTTGCTTCCAAAATGAACAAATCCCGCCTCGGCATGCCTGAAACGAGAGGTCCTATCGAAAACAAGGTAATTGTATGTATGCATGTATATACATACTACATATCACTGCTACATACCAAGACTGGGAGTGGTAGACAATTAACTAAGTATAATTAATGTCATTAAACGAGTAATGGGGAACCACCCCCCGTCTCCCCAACTGTATATTAAACCACAGTCCCTTCCCGGGCTTTCGTTTCATATAGATGTTCCAACGCTACCTTCTCCTCTCGTTTCCCCTCCGCATCCAGTAACCCTAATGATTATCCTTATGTACTTACAAGATGCGTGGGACCTCACCGTGGTTCTGTCATACAGTAGGGTTTCCTCTCATTTAAAATTGCATTTTCTTGCTACCCTTCTGCTTCGGTTTGGATCATTGCCAATCCCAATTTTCTTTCAAGTTGTTTCTATGCCATAGATTTGAACCTGGATACATAGGGAAATGCGGCAGCCAAGGCCAAAATGTTTTTTAAATTGTATATACTCGAATTCATATGCCGCTAAACAAAAATCACTTCTAGCGCGGGGGTATATCACAACGGTCAGGCAGCACAACGATCTTCGCTTCAACTGTCACGATCGAACCGACTCAGCACCTCTGGAGGCACGGTAGGAATATACTTGCGTGCTCGTTCCCGGTTGGTGCCGCCCCATCCGGCCCCGTAACTGATCAGCATGTCGGTACTAGTAGGTAATGAGAAGGGAAGGGTCAGGGATGGGTCCAAGAAGATCCCGTTGCCTCCATTTCGCTCATCCATACGCGGTGATGTCATGAAAGACCTTGGAGATGCGGCGGAGGCTTGATCATCAGGTTGATCTTGTCGAGGAGTCCGCGGCCGCCCCTCCGTCTGCCCTGCCTCTGGCTCCGCCGCTTGCTCTTTGCCCCCTTGAAGTTTTGCTTGTTCTCGGAACAGCAGGTCAGGATCGCGTTGCAGTTCAATAAGGAATTTCGTCGCTGGTTTGGTGAGACCCTTCTCTCCTACCTCAGGCCGATATGATTTAACCGCGTGAAGAAGCTGGGCTGGTGTCAGTTGCTGTAATTGAAGCAAAGTGGTGACAAGGGACTCGAAATCGTCTCCTAAAGACGAGAAGCACTGCAGCCATTGTAATAGCTGGATAACCGGGGCCAGGTGTCTGCGGGCGGCGTCCATAGTGCTTTCGCCAGTACTAGTCATAGACCCATTCTCATAATGCTCAGGCTGTCGGTTATTGTTACGTGCCCAATCTTCCAAAGTTGATACGTTCATACGAATCTGCATGGCCTTGGTCCGGGCTAAGTAGCGTTTGGTGGTCATAATGCGATTGAAGATCTCCGCTCCCAGCCAGTACAGCAGCTGTGAGAGGATTTGAGTAATAATGACAGAGTGGACATCGTAAAGGTCTAGCACGAAAAGTGTAGAAGACAGCAGGGACGTGATATTTCGCGGTGAAACCTGTGCTCGTCGCCGCGGGGATGGTGGTCGGAAGCGCTTCTCGGCGGGCTCGGGGGCTTTGGCCTTGGACTTGGAGCGGAAAAGCTTCCACTCGTTTTGGAAGTGAACATCCTCTAGTCCAGGGATTGTCTCATGATCGAGCATCGCCTCGTCTAGTACCTTATTCATTCGGCGCTCGGCGTCCCGAATGATTAAAATGAATATCTCATTTATAAGTTCCGCCAGGTGCAATTGGAACTCCACAGTCGCCTCCACGAGACCCCCATCCTTTTTCAGGTAATGTAAAAGCAAGGTGGCGTTCGACATCCAGAATGCCAATATTGTCATGTCCCATTGATGACGTTCAACAACATCGTTGATCTTATCCGTCGCCGAGACGAGTAGCTTCGCGAGTAATTCCGGGCTAGCATGGTAATGTGCGTACCGGGCACTGAGGAAAAGGAGGTTGGCGGGGACTGGCTTCTGCGATGGAGATCGCTGCGGGGTCATGTTGGTGATGATTATATCTAAGATCCTCTCTAGTTCGCTCTCCTGGAAGACAAACATTTGGTCGTTCAGGCATCGATCCCAGACAAATTCCTGTTGTTCTTCTTCCAGCTCTTCCTCATCGAGTGCCTGCTAGGCAGTTCAGAATCAGCCTCTCCATGTGCAGGTAAAGCTGTACACTTACATCATATTTCTCATCGAGCCCCAGGCTCGATAGATCAACTTCCAGATTAATAGCACTCTCTTCCATCATCATCCTTCTTTTCATCTCAGTCTCTGCAAGTTCCTCCTCGAACCGCCCGTGCGCCAAGCCAGCGTCGTAAAAATCATCTTCAATCACAGTAGGGCCAAAGTGATAGCCATTCTCATGCAGGTATTCCGAAATCTCACTTCCCGGCTGGGCAAAATCAAACGCAGTGCCTCCAGACGAGGACTTGATATCCGGCGACGCTCCGTGGTCAAGAAGGATCTTCGCAATCGTCTTGTGCCTGTTCGTCATGGCCCACATCAAAGCGCTCCATTGATTGCGATCCTGTTGGTCAACATTGGCACCTGCACTCAAAAGGGCTGAAACTACGTCTTGGTGCCCCTAGATCCAGTCAGCGGTAATCGCATTGAATAAACAGCAGAAACCAGGGAATAGATTACATACAAAGCAACTGGCATAAATTAACGGCACGGTTCCCTCCTCATCTGGCAGATTCACATCCACATAATCTTTCGCTTTGCCCTGTACCAACTTGCGCACACGTTCTACATCGCCGTTGCTCGCAGCCATGTTCAAACTTCGTTGTAAAATATCCTTCTTCTCTGTTTCCGATAGCTTTTCGTCCGTTGCGATTGTTTCTTCATCCGCTCCCAGTGAATCTACTTCGCGGTGGGCCGCCTGCGCAGCGAGCATCTCCATCAGCCGAGCATCGCTATCCTCCAGTCGAGCCGTGGTAGTCGACTCGTTATCGTCATCCACCGCAGCCGCAAGGCCCCGTCCATACTGGGCCTGTAGACTATGTTCGTCATCATGCGAGTGATCATCCAAGGCGAGACTGAAACTCAACGGTTTCGCGGCCACAGGCGTCGTGAGAAACTGGGATTGGCCTAGGGTGAGAAGAGACCGAGGTCAGCATTCTTCCGTCTTCAGGGCTTTTGGTTTGAGCACAACGGAGTAGCGCGCTGCTCTTTGTATATAAAGTCGTGGGAAAGTCTCCGTGGTCCCGGAAACTATCTTTAGCTCCTGCAGCCTACGCGACCGTATAGCGGGGAAGAAGTTGCGAACCTTGCCAACCATCATACATCTCAGTCTCGGGTTGAATCACGGGGACAGAACGACGGTCGTCCAAAGACTTGGGTAAATCATCCGGAAGCTCTTGAGAAAGTTGCTTTTTGTGAGTGTGAATGAGGTCAGGATCACTACCGTTGCGGTCGAGCTCGTCCGAAGCCCCGCGGAGGGACGCGGTCGAATCCATAATGACAGAGAATCAAGCCAGCTTCAAGAACCAACAAAGAAGAAAAGGGATCGTAAGAGAGGAACTAGCTCCATGGAGGAGAAGCGAATGGTAGCAATAGAAGATATTGTCCTCTTCCTTCTTCAGGACGAGAGAATGTCTGAATGGGTTCGGGAGGCAAGGAGATTGGGATGTTCCTGGCCGAGGAGTGACTACGTAGATCAACACGGCCAGTCATGCAGCTTTCTGGAATGCCTGATTTCCCAGACATCTCCACCCGGAGTTGCCTCCGGCGCCATGTTTTAGATAAATGGGCAATGTTTGATTTATATAGACGAAATAAGAACCATAATTCAAAACAAAAGGCGCTTCACGCTCATGCTTCCAACCCATTGGATCCATATCAACAACGCTAATGCTCGCAGAAGTAACCTCAGGCCCGAACCGATATCAGATCAATACCCAAATAGCAACAATCCCTCAAAATTTTAACGACCAAAGCAGGACAAAAAAGAGAGAAAAAGAAAAAGACAGGCGGACAGGCAGACCGATGCAAGTATATAATGTACATGTGTTTGCAGTTCATGATCACAAATAACAAAGTCGTTAATAAATATCAATCGCACAAAGCAAAAGGCTTGGGTATTATGAGTGGATATTATATCGGGTATACTTCGAAGGAATCAAATATGACGCTTGGTTCCTCCCTTTTTATCTATTTCTCGTGAAATCTTGCCGGGCAACGGTGATC